TTCCCTCCCTTCCCAGCCAGCAGTGAGGCCCAAACCTGTGCTCCCTGGGGAAAAGGACAGAATCACACCCCCTTCCCTCCCTTACAAGGATGCTGTCCCTCCCCTTTCTCTCCCTGCATGTCACAGGGAGAGAACAGAGAGAGGATGGAGGACCAGATGGAGGATGCTCTTATGCCTAGGTTGGCCACGGCTCAATTCTGGAGCGAGCCAGGCAGCCTGCCCAAGCCCTGGCTCCCTGAGAGCCTGCAGTGGACCATCAGTCCTTTACTAGCCCCAAGCTCCTCCCTCCTGCAGGGACAGATGCTGTGCCAGATGCTGTGTGGACTCTGGGATGAAACTCCCAGGAGCAGCAGGACACAGTGCACTCTGTATTGGTTCCTATATATCTGCTCTTTAAGCAGAAAGCAGTCATGGAGAACAGGAAGTGCAGGCAGGGCCCTCTTCTTCCAGGAAGCCAGCCTCCTCTCCTCCAGGTCAACTTGCCATTGGCTCCTACATGGCAGGACTTGTAGTCAGTGACTACAGGCTCTCCATATCAATGCTCCAGGTCCTTCCAAGGTTCTAAGGACTACGGTCCCAGCTTGACTGGCACAGGCCTGAAGGATCCAAAAACAATCCTGTCCAAACCAAGGGGCTCCAGCCCACAAAGCACCTGCTCCTCCACCCCAACAGGGTCCCTTTGAACAGCAGCACTGCAGCTGGAGCAGGCTGGGGGCCAGCCCATGCAGCCTCCCCAGGCACAGGTCCCAAGACTCCATCATCCATGCAGACTTGGACTCTGGGGACTCAGGGCCTCCTGGGCCCATCTTCAGAGACTGCAACCTCTCAGGTCCAGGGTGGGCCCAGCAGGGGAAATGGGGTGTCAGCAGTAAACACAGAGCATCTGGGAGACTCGCACCCAAGCTGACACCCTGAGGAGGGCTTTGTGTAGGTTGGGACCAGCATGTGGTCTCACTCCCAAGCCACTCTGTGGAGTGGATGCAAATCTTGACAACCACTGAGCACATGTTCAGAGCAGTTCAGAGTGCACTGTCATGGTCAGGAAGCAGGAGGACAGGCCCGCCTGGATGCCGCCTCTAATCAGGCAGCATGAACCCCAAAGCATACATGGTGGGGAGGGAGGAGGAGAGGGAGGACAGTGAGAAAGAGGAGGAGGAGGAGGAAGAGGAGGAACACCGAGGCCAGAAAGTACCAAAGGAAGACAAGATGGTGGGCGAAGAGGAGGTGGAGGGTATGGAATGGGGCTGTCCCGGGGCCGGGGGTGGGAAATACATATTAGAATTTGGGAAGTCACTGTGTGGTCCAGGCGAATCCAGCCTTACCTTGTGGCTGCTTCAGAGCTCTGGACCAGGCCAACTCCAGTGCAGGGCAGATGATACCACAGCCGAGGAAAGCATGGAGACTCCTCCACCCAGCCCCCAGCCTGAGGTCCCCCAGAGACCCTGGTCCTGAGTGCCTGCCTAGCTGTGGTAGAGCTGGGCTAGAACCACCCCAACTCTGGGCTCCCAACTTGGAATGAGGCCGAGACAAGCACAGCCCAGAGCTTCTGGACTCCTCTGTCTGGAGCACCTCGCTAGTCCTTAGCAGTCAGGGGATCTGGCTCTGCCACTGAGATCTATGATGCTGGCTAGGGGTCCCCTCCCTGGACCTCTGCTCCCCAAAACTGTCACCTATTCCTAAGACTCTTCTAGCCACAGCCAGAAGCAAATGAGAAACCCCAACATCTAGGCTCCAGGGAAGCCAGGGTGCAGGGAGCCAGGCTGTTGGAATGACCAGGACTCTCTGGAGAGGTCCCGGCTTTAAGGACCAAATGTTAGCTCAGCTGCCAAACCAGAATGGTGGATGCCCAGCTCTCCTCTTTAGTCCCCTTTTCCCCCTTTTCTCAGACCACAGGATCACAAGCTTGACAGCAAACACAGACCACTTTGAACCCTAGCTGTATCATTGGGTGGCTGTGTGACTCTGGATAAGTCACTCACCCTCTCTGAGCCTCAGGTTCTCCAACTGTAAGCCTGGGATGACAAGAACATCTTGCATGGTTGTGAAGAAGGGATGAGGTGACCTTTGAGGAGAGCCAGTCACCGTGCCAATCGAATAGCAGACTCTTAAGAAAGGGCCTACTTTCCTTCCTTTTTTCCCCTATGAGATGGTTTTCTCTCCTGTGCTGCACTATTCCTGGGTGGTAAGGAAACTTCTGGGCATACTAGTTTCCAGCTCAGCACTGGCTACTCCTGCCAGGGGGCACTGCTTAACCCACAGCAAGGAGGGGCTTGCGGGAAGCAAGGGACACATTTCTGGCCAGCTGGTAGCCTTTCTGGGCACCTCCCAAGTCACACCCTGTACTTGACTGTCCCTACGCACAAGGCTGATTCTGGAATCCATGAAAAGATTTGCTGCTCCAGTTTTGCAAAAATAGAAAAGCCTAACTCAGAGAGGGGGGGGGAAGAGGGCAGCCAGATGTTCTCCCCAGGGAACTGTAAGCCCCCCCCCAACCCAGCCCCCTGCCGACCAGAGCTGCCATTCTGCCCCATACTCTCCCCTCCTCCATCCCAGAACATCTGGTTCCAATCTCCTTCAGATGCTGGGGCCACACCGTTTTATGGCCAATCACCTCAGCTTAGCTTCCTGAAGGCCTCCCTCTGTTTTGGGGAATGGGCCCTCTTCATCCCTTTCCTCAGGACCCTAGCCACTTCTTTTCCTAACATGGAGAAGAGGCACATTCCAAAACCAGACAAAGCTGTCAGTGTCCTCGGAGCTGACCTCTCCTCCCTCTGCTCTGGAGGGTGGGACATCACCCACCCAGGACTGGAAGGAGAGATGCTTTCCTGGGAGGCACAAGTGGGCAGCGGAGTATGCATGTGCCTCTGCACAGAGAAGGCAGGAGGTGCGCGTGTCTTGGGGACATGCGTGTGCAAGCATGTGCTTGTGTTGGATGTGCCTGTGTGTTTGTGCCCCCACTGCAGGACACCCCACCTGTGACCTGGAGCCTCACCCTCTCACCCCTGCCTTGTTTTCCCTCGATGCCCCCACTGGTGGCAAAGCTCACTCAGGGTCCCTCACCTGCACTCTGGCTGCTAAGGTCCAGGGTTGCCCTCACCTTGGAGCTCTGAGGTCCACTAGGCCTTCGCCAAGCCCAGTGCAGGGAGGGTGCAGGTGCGTGGGCGTGTACCTTTACCAGCAACCTCTCCTTCCACTGGGTCAGATTAGACTCCAGGCCAGAAAGGATCTCAGAATGGAATCTGGCAGATGCCTTGACCCTGCTCCATCTGACAGGTGCTTCAAGCAGCCCAGGGCTGGCCATGTGCCAGGGAGTGGCCATCTGGATGGAGGAAGGAAATCAGGCCCTCCGGAGGAACCTGCATGGAGCCCCTGCCTTGGGTCATTCTCTTTGTTCCCCAGTTAGAGGACTCTGGGAGCCAATCCCACTTCCCAAGAAACCCAAAAGGGCTGTCAAAAGGAAGACTGAAGCCTGCCTCTCCGGAGGACTCTGAAAAGCCAACCCTGCATAGACGCTGGAGTCGCTCCCCGTCCTCCTTTAAAACAACCTCCTTGGCATTTGCGACTCCACAGCACCCCCTTGCGTTCTACTGTAACTACACACAGCCTTGGTTAGTGGGAAGAGACACCAGAGGATACCCTGAGGGCCACTGTGTCTGGGAAGGGCCCTGCCTATGTCTTACTACTGTCTAAGGTGATACCAATATATACTAGAGGAGCCAAGCAAGGAGGAGTAAAATGGGGCTGGTTTTTCTAAATCAAATCCTGGGCACTGTGCCTGTCTGGCATAAGATGTGGGCAAACCTTTTAACTTTTTTGTGCTTCAGTTTCCTCATCTGTTAAGTGGGAATTAAAAGCACCCAAGGTCCTTATGCAGACTAATACAACTGGTGCACATGGAAACATAGACCTAGTGCTGCACACAGTAGGTCCTCAAGAAGTGGTTGCCTGTGCTTTGGCTTATTCCTCTCTATCCCGAAAAGGCCACGCCCCAAGGTCTGAAGACACGGGTGAATTTGGCCCTGACTCAGGCAGTGTTGGTGAGGTGCCTCTGACATTTCTGGAACATTTCCAGTCCAGCCGAGGACCATTTTAATAAGTTCATAATAATAGATGCAGTGGTGACTCAGTTCTGCAGATGAGGAAGAAGCCTTGCTGGGGGAAGGGCCACCCTGGCTGGGACAGGAAAATCCAGTGGCGTTTGGGGCTGAAGCACGGCAGCCTGCAGCAGTGGCAAGGGCTCCAATGGGGGCCCAGATTGCCACAATCCTTCCACTGGACTCAGTGTCTCCACCAGGCGAGCACAGGGTGGATCCAGAGGACTCCTAGAGTACTTTCCGAGCTAGAGACGTGGCTACGCACTCTGACGGCTCCCGCAGTAGGATCTGGATATACCTTGAGGACAGCTCCATGTGGAGGACGTTGCCACCTGAGTTATGCAACTCACCCACTCCACCCCTGTTCAAAGAGAAGCTGCTACAGTCACAGTGTCTGTCTCCTCCCACTCTGAATTCATTTGTTAAAATTTTAACCCCCAAGATGGTATTAGGGGGTGAGGCCTTTGAGAGGCAATCAGATCATGAAAGTGGAGGCTTGTGGTTGGGATTGGTGCCATTATCAAATGGGCTGAGGGCCAGACGTGGTGGCACACATCTGTAAGCCTAGCTGCACAGGAGGCTGAGGCAGGAGGCCAGCCTGGGCTACGTAGTGAGAATTTGTCTCAAAATAAAAATATGAAGAGCCAGGGATGTAAAATCCCCAGTACAAGGGCACAGGCAGTGGGCCCGAGGGAGCTTGTTAGCCTTTTCCACCATGTGAGGACACAGAAAAAGACAGCTCTCTATGCACCAGAAAGCAGGCCCCCTCAGACATCAGACCTGCTGGTGACTTAAGCTTGGACCCCTCTGTCTCCAGAACTGTGAGAAGCAGTCTCTGTTGTTCATAAGCCACCTGGTCTGTGGTATTTTCTTACGGCAGCTTGGATGGACGAAGACAGGCAGGGCCTCAGGCCATGTGGTTTATTGATGTACATCGCAAGCACAGCAGAGGCGGGTGTGCCCCGCCCAGGAAGGACACAGCTGGAGAAGGGCAACGGGCCACCCCCACAGCAATGCCATCCGCCTGGGTGGGAAGGGCCTGAGGACCCAAGTCCTCTCCTCCACAAATTTCCTAGAGGCCCCAGGCCTCCTGACCACCCCAAGGATCAGCCCACCACAGCACTCCCTGTCCCCACACACAGGAACAGCCTCACTGGCCTGCCAGCCCCTCTGTCTTTCATCACAGAAATCCAGCTGCTTGTCTGTCATCCCTGTCACTTCTGTGGAAGTCACAGTGGGGCTGCCCTCTGCTGCCTCCACCAGCACCTCCCCAGTTTCCCCTCCAGCTTTGCTCATCTCAGGAAGGGGAGCCAGGGGCCACCCTCACCAGCCTCATGACCCGTGCGACAGTAGGAACGAGGTGAAAACACAGAAAGCCCAGGGAGGGCTTTGCCAAGGGCACCCCAGGGGAGTGTCCAGGAGGGCCAATGGCCAGTGGGCAGGTGCGGGGCGGGAGAGGCCACGAGCCCAGTCAGATCCCACACTGCACAGAGCAGTCATGGCACTGAGGCAGAGTGGGCAAGCAAAGCACACAGCCAGGCAGGGTGCCAGGGCTCTGCGGGCAGCCTTCAGGTCTTTAGTTCCGCGTCTCTAAGTCCCATCGGGTAAGGTCCGGCTGAGGACGGGGTCTCAGGGGTCTCCTTCCCCCTCCTCGACCCCCCGTGGCTGCTGTTCCAGACCCCGGAGCTCCCTGAGCCAGGGAAAGGTTTCCTGGGGAATATAGCATCTCCAGACAGAAGAAAGGAAAAGCCCAATAGCCCAGGGTCCCGAAGCCAGAAGAAGAAAGAGGCAGGGGGACATCTGGAGTGGAGAGGGAGAGGAAGAGAAGGACAGCTCTCCCATGCAGGAAGAGGGTTCTTGGGGGCAAGGGGCAGCCAGGGCATGACAGCAGTGCAGGAGGCTATTTATAGAGGGGAGAGTCCCAGGCTGGAGTGGAGCCCCAGGCCCAGCTCAGCAGGGAGGGGGCTCTCTGGGGTGGCCCTGAGTGGGGTGAGTGGGGCTAAGGAGGAGGTGCCCCACAGCTCTCTGCAGCTCTCTGGAGGCAGCCAAGCCCCGAGGGGCTTCCCCAGGAGAGCCTGGGGGCAGGCAGGACTCTAGGAGATGGAGGCTTGGATAAGGCAAAGACTAGGAGAAGGAAAGCAGAGGAAAGGAAGGGGGAGTTCTCCCAAAATCCAACCCACCTACGGACCTCCTGAGGCTGAGAAGCCTTTGCAAGTCCACCAGGCCTGGGGTGGGCCACGCTTACCAAGAAGACCACCCTCGGTTGCTTCCGGTGCCAAGGGATGGGGGTAGGGTGGATGGAGCAGCGGGAGCGGGGGCAGGGGAGAGAGAGCCAGCTCCCTGAACCTAAGCCGCCCTCCTGCCATCTCTCCCTGACCCTCAGCTCCCCAGGAGTCCCTAGCGGCCCACACTGATGTTGCAGGTCTTGCAGCTGGGGTCTTTCTTGGCATCAGCAGTGGACAGGCTCATGAGCTGGTGCCCGCTGATCTCCCCCAGGGTGCCCAGGGACAGGTCAACGGGCTCAGTGTAGATGATCTCCAGGATGAGGTCCTGGGCATGACGGAAGACCAGCTCCCCACCCTCCACACTGCAGGTCAGGAACTTGTTGCAGGCAATGTCCAGGAGGGGCAGGCGATCACGACAGAAGCGGTCCCCCAGGGAACCCTTGGGTGCCAGCACCAGGATGGCATAGTGGTAGGCTGTGTACATACAGTAGAAGTCTGCAAAGTAGAGGTTGGTGCTGGGGTTGAAGAGGCGCTGGGCGGGGATCTGGAAGCGCCAGCGGCCATAGGGCGAGTCCTGGGGAGGCTGGCCAGTGTTGAACTCAGTGTTGCAGCTGAAGAAGACGCCGTGGAGCATGCCGCTGGTGGGGGAGCCGTGGCTGCCACTGTTGTCCTTCAGATAGGGTTGCAGCATGTTCCCACATTGGGTCCTGCCCCCGCAAGAGAAAATGCCCCCCATTAGCTGGGCTGAGCCTTGATCATTGAGTGTGGTCAAGAAGTCCCGGATGCAAGAGCAGGGGGACCCTGAAGATGAACTGATCCTGCCAGCTCCTGCCACTCCTATGGTGGGGCTCAATAGTGATGAGAGAGAGAGAGAGAGAGAGAGAGAGAGAGAGGCAGACGGACAGCATCCGGTCTTTCCGGTTTCCGCCTCCCACCCACAGGTGGCACTTGTAGTCACTCTCTCACTTCTGTACTTTTGCATCGCTGTGTCCTCGGCCTGGCCTGCCCTCCCCACCTTTCTCCTCCTGGCTTCATAAACTCCTAATCATCCTTCAAGGCCCAGCATAAGGGTTCCTCTTTTCTCCCAGGAACAGCGGGCACTTACGAATATTCAAAAAATGTTTGCCTGCCTTTATGTGCAGGACCCTGAGTTTTGCTCAATGATTAAACATACTTATGACATTAAATCCTTCCATATCAATCAGACTCTGAGGTTCTTAAAAGGGTGGCCTGTGCCTTAGTCTTTGTGTCTTGGATCTTCACAGGGGCACTCCGTCTCTCACTTTCTCAGTGATAAGGGAGCCCAAATAGGATCCTGTCTTTGTTCTTTGATACAGACACTAATGACCCAATACAGACACTGCCCAGCCCAGATGCCTGTGATGATAAAGACAGTGACAACTGCAGCTGGCCTGGCCTGGGTTAGAAGGACATTGACCTGGAGCAGTGACACCAGACACGGGGGAGGGTGGACAGGCCCTGGTCCTGGCTGTCCGGAATGACGAGTGCCTCACTGGCCTAACTGGCCAACTGAGGACCTTTATCTGTAGGCTGAGGTTATTGGATGGGATCAACAGTCCTCAAACACTTTTGGACTGCAGAACCCTCTTTTTTCCCCATGGAAACGTATACATAGGCTGGTCACCGGCAGCCAACACTGAAGCTGCTCTGGCTGGGTGATGCTCTGGCTGATGGAGGAAAGCCCCAGCCTTTGATTCCCTTGCCCCCAGACCCTTAGCAGCACCCTAAAGGATCCCCAAGTTGCCTCCTGGAGCCTCCAGGGGCCTCAGCACTCAGGTTGAAAGCCAGAGAGCTGGGTCCTCCCTGGGGCCCTTTGTGCTTGGGACCCATTCTGCTTTCTCCTCTTCACCTCCTCTGTGGTCCCAGACCCTGAACTAGAGAGACAGCTGACCATGGTGATAGATCTTGTGATGAAATCGTCCTGGGGGGATCAAACTGGGACTTTGTTCCTCTGGGGGTATTAGCCCTGTGCTCTACCAGGCAGTCCCATCCTATACTGGACCTACATCTGGCAGCCAGCGAGAGCGGGGTGACCCAGGAAGGCCAGGACAGCAGGACGAAGAGCTGAGGGAGGAAGGAGAGGCCGCGTACCTGGCATGCTGGAAGTACTCCTTGTGATGGTTGCGGTAGAAGACAGAGAAGCGGAGCATGCGGCCAGCGATCTGCTCGGCTTTCTCCTGCAGCTGGGCCAGGTGCTCCTTGGCGTAATCTGCGAGAGTCCAAGTGGGGGTGAAGTGATCTTGAGACAGTCGTAGGATCTCAACCTCGTTCTCTCCCTGGACCCCTACCCACCCCGAATTGTGCCTGCCAGCTAATCTTGTCCTGTGGAGCAGCAGGGGGGACCACAGAGCCGAAGCAGAGGCTTGGACTCAGATGAGAACAAGCCAGCTGGCCTCGGCTGGGAACACAGGGAGTTATGTGCTATCTGTCCTTGTCTCTACACCCTCGTTGCCAGAGGCTCGTGGCTGCTCTGGGTCCAGAAAGGGTAGGGGGCTGCCCTGTGACCATCCCAGGCTACGCTCATATGAAAATAGGACCAGAGGCCAAAGAAAGACTTGAGAGGGGTGGATGCAAGGTCCTTTGGGAGGTTCCCTCAAATCCAGCAGGTGGGGAGAATCAGAGAACTGAGCCTGACCCCTCGCTCGTGAATGTAGAGGCAGTGTCCACACCTGTCCCTCAGGGCTGGGGCACTGGCTCGCCACTTGAGCCTCTCTGGAGAAATGGGGGAAGGCTACCATCAGGGTCAGGAAACTGAGCACCACCACCCCACCCCACCCTGCGCTCCCCACAACCTGAGCCCAGGGCTCCTGAGTCCGGGCAGGGCTGCTGTTAGGTGGACAGTGCCTTGGTACCAACTAGAAAGAGGTGCCCTTTGCACATTGCTGATGCATCCCTGGCTGGGGTACTTGGCTGGGTGAGAGCAGAGTGACTGGACCCACTTCCAGCTCCCAGTCTGAATTAAATGCCCATGGCATGTGTGGTTCTGGGATAACCAAGAAGCCCTTTGTACGAGGAGCAGGAGTATTCCTGAGTAAGGTTTGTGCAGGTCAAGGAGAGTTGGGGCACAAACGTTGGCAGAGGATGGAGCCAGCAGCCTCGGAGGCCCTGGAGCAGAGAATGTTCCCTGCCCCTTCCTTACAACAGGACAGCAATCTGGAGCAGTTCTCATGTGGACACTGAAAGGAGGGGATACTGCAGGCCAGGTCCTGGGTCAGCAGTGACCAAGTACACAAGGCCAGTGTTTGTCCTTGTTTGAATTTGCAAGATAGGCTCTGCTAAGAGAACTTGCATGGCCACTGGATAAGGACCATTTTTCAGAAAAATGTCATTGTCCCACCAAGTGTCCACTGACAGACCACTGATGAACAAAATGTTGATCAGCCTTAAGAAGGAAGGAAATTCTGACACATGCTATGACACCTTGAAGGACATTATGCTAAGAGAAACAAACCAGTCACAAAAGGACAAACGCTGAATGATTCTACTTATAGAAGGTACCTAGGTCACCATCATAGAGATGGGAAGTAGAATGGTATTTGACAGGGCCTGGGGGAAGAGGGAAACAGGGAGTGGTTGTTTAATGGTAGAGTTTCAGTTTTGCAAGACGAAAGGTTCTGGAAATAGGCTGCATAACAATGTGAACATACTTCATGCTACTGTGCTGTATGCATAGAAATGATTGAGATGGTAGCTTTTATGTTAGGTGTGTTTTTCACCAGGTTTTAAAAAATATGCTGCACCCAAGTCTTTGAGAAAAGCAACTCTATCCTTTCATGGAGGTGGTGTTGCCAACCTGAATAGCACTGTCCACATCTGTCCCTCATTAGAAAAAGGTGGGCTGTCTGAGGGCAGGGGAGCATCCCCCTTCTCACCCAAGTATACTGTACAGGGCACAGCAGGTAGCCATGAGTGTTTGCCCCCCTCAGCCACAACTCAGCCAGACACGCCAAGCAAGCAAGTTAGCGATACAGAGCCAGGGCTCACCCCCAGTGCAGAACTCCACGGTCTCGCTCCAGCCGGACACCAGGTACTCGCCGTCGCTCTGCTTCACCGCTGTCTGCACAGCTACACTGTACTCCGTGCGGGGGCTCAGGAACCAGTGGCCTCTCACTGTCATGGGCAGGGCCACTGCCTTGGCCACCAGCTTGGTGGGGACATCCTGAGAAATGGGATACGGTTGGAAAGGCCAGAGTTAATCTGGGAGTCACATCCAGTCTTGGAATTCTCTCAGAATTCCCGCTCTCCGGGTGGTCCCCGGGTGGAGGAGGATCAGAGTCTCGGGGATCCAACGACTCCATGCCTTGGCTACCATTTTCCTGCAGAAGCAAGCAGTGGCTTGGGACAGCCACAGAGACCTCCCTCCCTCCCACGCTGATGGCTTGTTCTTTCAGGAACTGAGGGGAAAGGCCACTTGGGAAGAGGCCCCCAAAGTTGAAGGCGGCAAGACCTCTGTTTTTAAGGGAGACTCTGAGAGCTCTGCACACTGCAGTGCTGTCTCCACGGCAACGGCAAATGCTGAGAAGCGGGGAGGAAGGGAAAATATGCCTTATTCTTTGGGGGGAGGGCTAAGGGGGTGGCATTGAACATTCACATCACCGTGGCAACTGGCCTGCCAAAAGACACCCAGATCAGGAGAGCCAGTTCCAGACGGGGGAGGTGAGTAACCCACACTGAGGCTGGCGTCCTAGGAGCCAGCCTTTTCCCACCTCGCTGTCCCCTGCCTCGCCAGCTAAAGGAGATGTGGGCTTCCTCCTAGCCGCCCCCACAGCGGCTTTTAACCTAGGGAAAGACACACCCGAGAGGGCCCAGTCACATTCCTTTCCTAGATGAGCAAACAGCAGCCAGTGGGCAGCAGAGGGGCAGAGAGAATGATGGGGGGGGGGCTGAGTCCCCAGCAAAGGGACCCGCCCCACAGAGGCCCGAACTGCCCACCTAATCAACGAGAGCTTGAGGTGTCATCCGTCGCCATGTGTGGCATCTTAGGTCCACCCCCTGCCCGGGCACTCGGCCCTGTCTGAAGTCCCAGTCATGGCGCAGATAACAGTGCTCACACTGTGCTAGGCTTTGTGCCAAACACCACGCAAACATTACTCATGGAATCTTCTCGACAGCCCTCCGAGGGTGGCCACGATTATTCCCTTTCTACCAGGGAAGGAGCTCGAGCTAGGAGAGGTCACATCACCTCCAAGATGATGCAGTTCGAGGAGTCTGGATTCTGATCAGGCCTCTGACTCCAAGCCATTTCCCGCAAGGTCCATTTTCCTGTCTCTTCCCAGAACAGGGGTTGGGGAGAGGCGCTGGGGTGCCCTCTACTCACCCGGTGCTTGAACTTGTTGGAGTTCTTGTTCTCTTTCTTGTTGAGATCAATGAAGTAATGGGTGACCCTCTCCAGGTCACTGTCCTCCATGGCCCAGGAGATGCGGAAGGAGTCGCAGGTGATGTTGTTGATCTCGATGCTGTGGGGGGTGGACAGCAGCTCCATGCTCCCCTCTGGTTTGTCTCCTGTGAGGACGGAGTGTGAGGGAAGGATCAGCAGCTCCCTCCCACCACAGAGCTTTCTAGTCGGTGCGGCGCCCAACATCCCTTGTGAGTTGGATCCTTCAGAACCCATCACATGCATCTGCCTCATACACGTGGTAGAAAAGACTGCGTGGGGAAGGCCAGAGTTGAGGGACCCAAGGTGGGACGGGTGTCCCCTGGGGGCTCTCTGCTGGCCTCAGAGGGTCTGCAGAGCAGACAGCACCTGACAGGTGGCAGAGGCAGTGGGAACGCAGCAAATGCTGGGCAGGGACAGATTTGCAGCAGATGGAGCCCAGGAGGGAGGGGCTCAGCCCTCAGCGTGAAAAGAGAAAGGCTGGGGGTGGAAAGCACGGGGAAGAGGCGGCGAGGAGGCAGGAAGCACCTGCTGGGGGGCTGGGGCGAGGGCGGAGGCAGGTGGCAGGTGCTGGCAGCCAAGGATCCAAGGCGCCAAGACCTTTGGGCTCAAGCCTCTGTCCCCCTCGGAGGTGGCTCTGTGAGTGTCCCCACGGCACGGGACTAGGAGGACGGGTGCCAGGTAGGTGCCTGTGGATACACTGGAAGTGGACGGGGGCAGTGTGGGCCCGCCGCCTACTTCAAGCTCTCTTTCTTCCTATAATTTTCAGTGTCTTTGGGGTTTTTTTTTTCGGTACTGGGGCTCGAACTCGGGTCCTTGCGCTTGCGCAGCAGGCGACAAAACCACTGAGCTAAATCCCCTGCTCTTCCTATAATTTTTTCTGACAATCACTGTTTCTCTTTTGGCTGATCTTGGTCTGGCTTTTTAACATGATTTGTTTCAACACTGAAGTGTACTGGGAGCCCAAAAGTACAAATAATTTCACAAACATTGTCTCACACAAGTCCCATAATAGGTACATGCTGTTATTATCCCCATTTTGCAGATAAGGTAACTGAGGTGAGGGGGTAGCCAAGGCCACACAGTCAACAAATGAAGTGTACTCTGGAGACCAAGCACTTTAGCTCTAAGCTTGTGTGTGTGTGTGTGTGTGTGTGTGTGTGTGTGTGTGTGGCATGTGGCTGTGTGCAGGGCACATATGTCTCTGGCTGTTTATTTCTCCTCCTTCGATTGGTACCTTCCAAGCAGCTGCATTTTCTCTCACCTTCCTCTCACACTCCTTCAGCTGTAACTGACATCTGGTGCCCTCCAGGTGTGGCAGGACTCTACCACTATCTCTCTCACCTGGCCCTCAGCTGGGAAGAGATGCCTGGACTTGTCTATGGCCTGACCCACCTAAGCTCTGGGTGGGGACAGGTGAAGGGGTGGACAAGGCACAGATGTGGGTCGACTTTCTCCTGGGCATCCACTCTCCCACTTCTCTGATTCTTTCCTCCAGCTCAGTACCTGGCGCAGCTCAATGCCACCTCCTTCTCTGCTCTCTTCCTTCTGTCTCTCTTCCCCTTATCCAGGAGCTAGAGGTGGGGGCACCCTGTGCCTGCAAAAACAGGTACTTTATTTATAGCTTCCTGAAGATCCAGCCCACACTTCCCTGTCAATTAAGCCTGCTACAGAGCCTGGTACCTCTAAATTAACCTGTGGGCTGCCTGGATGGCAGGTCCCGGGGGAGGCTGTGGATAATGACTCTTACCTACCCCAGGTGTCCCCCGAGTCTTGTTTCTTCTTAGCTTCCCACCCTGCAATCAGATGCCAGTGGCTTCATGCATGGACTCCTATGGTGAGCAAGCATGGGAGTGCCACCAAGTCCGCCCAAAAATAAAACAGATGGATTCGGGCTGGTGTCCACAAACCCTGTTTGTAATTGGGGGGACAGGTACGGAGCAGTGGGGAATTACCATCTTCCTAGATCCTGGCAGGAAGCTCCCAAGGAGATACACGTATGGCCCTTGCGCACGTGCGCACACACACACACACACACACACACGAACACAGATGCACTCCCACTTGTGTGATGCAGCCTACACCAGCCGTATGATCAAGCCACTATTCCTGCTTGTTTCCTCTTCTTCTCAGAGTCTTCCTAGAAGTAGGGGTAGCTGTGCGGTGTGTGGGAGCTCTGGACCTGGCAGCTGCTCATCCCTTCTCTCTCCAGTTCTGGGAGAGCTGAGATGACTCCCCCACCCTAGCCTGGGAGAGAGGTGTTGACTGGCATCAACAGAGTGGACCAGGGTGGGTGTGAACCCAGCCTGTCGACACCCAGATACCTGGGGAAGGGCAGGGTGTGAGGAGCAGGTTGAGGCAACACCCTAGAAGCACCCACACTCCTGCGTGAATCCATCCCAGGCAAGTGTGTACACACCCACACACAAGCAGGCACGAATACACACACACACAAGTGCTGAGGGTGCCCATCAGCCCCTGCATGCACCTCCCCAGCCAACCTCATGCCCACACTCCCTACCCACCGAGGTACCCTCCACCTACCTACCTGCGCATTCTAAGTCCGGCCCATGGTTTTTCCCCCCCGAAAACTGTCGCCTTCAAGCAGACCCACACATGCTCATGTCCACCGTCTGATGCACACCCACAGGCACGAATCCCTCCTCACAAGCCATATTTGGGGAAAAGAAGAAGCCACAGGCACCAACATGCATGTGTGCCACCTCCCCAAGGAGGCACGCAGCCCACACGCCTGCCCAAGCACACATGTACATTCGCACACATTTCAACCCTCCCACCCCCGAGGGACTCCGGTATTCTCTCCAGTCTCAAAGCCGGAGTCTCCAGGCTCAGAGACAGACTTTGAAAACATGTTCACCTTTGGCCACATTCAGCCAGCCTGATCCTGCACATGCCAACAGGTTTGGGCGCCTACGAGCTTCTGCCCACTCTTCCCACCTACCCACCCCACCTTGCTCTGGAGTTGCGTCTCCCCACGTAGAAACTGCCTGCTTGCATACAGTCCCTCAACATGTACTCCCACCCACAGGACAAGTGACACGTCTACCCCCTAAATATACTGCCTCGCAGGCCCCCACCCACGCCTACCCACAGGCTACTCAGAGAAGCACTGCCGCCCCCCCCCACGTACCTCACACGTGCAAGAAAGCTGCGTTCCTAGACATACCAGAAGCCGGCTGAACCCCCCAAAGAAGCCTAACTCCGCTCGGGCACACCTATCTACGCAAGCAATCCTCCAGCCTCCCTGCGAGCACGCACACGAGCTGGAACATAGATGCCCCTTCCCCGGCCCCGTTCAGAAAAGCTGCTGGCATGCCACAGGGAAAGCCCCCCCCCATCCCTGCTGGCACCCCTGACTGCAGCAGAATGGTCACGGGGTAACTAACTGTGTCACCCCAGGGACTGGATCCAGCTGTTAAGCCCTTTGCTGAGGGCCTGGGGGGGAGGGAACGAGGTCATCAGGCCTGGGGATCCAGGTGGGCACCCTGGACGGTGGCAGATCCCTGTTACCCCCAGCTCTCAGCCTCTCAGGATAGGTAGCGGGATGGCCAGGGGAGGAAGGGCGCTCACCTGGCTTCCCTGGGCTCTGCAGAGGATGACCGGGCAGGGAGGGAAGGGAGGACCTCTGTGGATGAGGTCCCCAGGCAGGGACACAGTGGCTGGACACCTGGGTCACAGGCAGTGGCGCTCGCTCACTCCACTCCCGGCTGCCAAGGAGGCAGCTTCCATGCCCCGCAGGCAGCTCCCGTCTGGCTCCGCAGCAAACGGCTGCTGCCCCAGCGACACGATGTTCCCAGCCCAGCCGAGTGCGAGGAGGAGCGAAAGATGAGAGGCAAGAGTGAAATCCAAGCAGCGTGGAGGAGAGAGAGAGGCAGAGAAGGCGAGAAGGAACGAGAGAGCCAGACCGAATCTGGCTCCACCAATGGGATCCGTGGCTGCACAGTGTCAGGTGATAATCAGCAAGCTTAGTCCCTGCTCGCCCAGGCTGGAGGGAGGGGAGAGGGCAGAGGGTCTCGCAGGGAGCTACACAGATGTTCTTGGAGGCAGTGGTTGAGACTCTGTCACCTTTCCCCCATTCCTACAGGACAACCTGCCCTCAGAAATCCCTCCAACACACCCCTACTTGGACATCTCTGACTTGGATGCAACCCCCAAACTTTAGGGTGCCAGAAGGGTGGAGCTTAACCAGAGGACTTGGGCCCCCAAGCAAGGACGCTGATTGGGGGAAGGAGAGGGAAGCTATGTAGGGGAAGGGTCCAGACGGGGTATGTGGGCAGGGGCCCTGTTTCAGTCTGAGTCCCCTCCTGGGGGCCTTTCACTGATGCATGGCTCCATTTTCTTACCGACTCTTATCAGGAGATATCAGACCTGCAGTCCTGGAGACGCCTGAATGTCCAGTGAGAGTCCTCTAGCTGATTAGGTGTCCTCAAGAAAAGGAGCAGGAGAGAGAAGTTGTAGAGCAGAGAAGTATGCGCAGAAGGAAAAATGTGGGGTAGGGGGCACACAGAGCTTCAAGTGTTCCCATCCCAGCCAACCCTCAGGCTCAAGGCAAGCCCTGAGCACCTCAGCCAGACAGTAATATGGCCAGGAGGCTTGTCTGCCACCAAAGAACCAGGATCCGTGGATGCCACTGGAAGAACTCTCAAGGAAACTGGAATCAAGCAGCAAACAGTGTTAGTTTGTGCCATGATGGAAAGCACAGGCTTTGCAGCCAGGCAGAAATGAGGACGATGCCTGCTCTCTCCTCTTCTAGCTGGGTGACCTTGGACAGGTGACACCATCTCCCTCGGAGCTTCAGTTTCTTCATCTGGCAAGTGGGATACTAACACAGGTTTGTTGTGGTCTTGGAATGAGATCATTGTGAGAATCGGCTAGCTCTAGGCTTGGCACTGTCAGAGCTGTTATCTTTCCCATCATTATTGGCAGTCAGCCTGCAAGGAGCCCACTGTCTTCCAGGGGAGGAGAGATGAACATTTAGATGACGCAATTAGAGAATAAAGACCATATAGTTGGCACTCTGTATCCATCTGCAGATCCAACCAAGGATTGAAAATGTATTTTTTATTTTTTAAAAAAACTACATTGCCATGTAGTTCAGGCTGGCCTTGAACTCACAGGGTAGCCCAGGCTGGCCTTGAACTCAAGGCAATCCTCCTGCCTCAGTCTCCTCATTATAGGAGGGATTACAGAAATGTGTACCACTCCTGGCTCTGAAAAAAATTTTTGTTTTCTTTGGTATCAAGTATTGAACTTGGGTCCTTGTGCTTGTGCAGCAGGTGGCGAAACCACTGAGCTAAATCCCTGGCCCTGAAAATATATTTTTTTAAATTGCAAAAAAAAATTGCATTTTTTTTGGAGGGCTTTGTTTTGCTTTGTTTTTGCTTTTGTTTGAGACAGGATCTTGCTATGTAGCCCAGGTTGGCCTCAAACCCATGGCAATCCTCCTGCCTCAGCCTCCCTAGTGCTGGGAGCACACAGCCACCACAGTCAGTTTAAAGTTACATTTGAAGAGGGCTGGGGATTTAGCTCAGTGGTTTCACCGTCTGCTGTGCAAGCGCAAGGACCCGAGTTCCATACCAGGTACCAAAAAAAAAAAAGAAAGCGTGCTTGCCTAGCATGCTTGAGGCCCTGGGTTCAATCCTCAGCACCAAAAAAAAAAAGTGTTTGTAATGAACATGTAGACTTTTTTCTTGTCATCATTCCCTAAATGATATAGTGTAACAATTACTTACATAGCATGTACATTGTATAAGGCATTATAAGTAATTTGGAGATGATTTTAAGTAATGGGAGGATGTCACAATATATGACAGTATATGTAGTATAAGCAAACATGACAGTATTTTTTGTAAGGGATTTGAGCACCTGTGGATTTTGGTGTCCACGGAGATCCTGGAGCCAAACCTCTGTGCATGCTGAGGGATGATGGGATAATAAAATTCCAGGTACAAGTGTCCAGAGGAGACCGTGGAAGAGGAGTGAGGTGAAGGGAAAGTGTGGCATGGGGACAGCAGATGCCACACAGACCCAGAGGTGAGGGCTTCCAAGCGAGAAGACAAGAACTGAGCATAAGGGACAGATGCTGAGAGGGACTTGAGGGCTGCACATATTGGAAGCCAAGGTTGGAGCTGGTGACAGTGACAGAGAGTGAAGAGTTCATGGTGTACAAAGACAAGGAGAAGCCATTCCTGCCTTAACTGGGTGTGAGAACCTGAGCAGGCCTGGTCAGATCCCAAACCACAGAATGCAGCATGGTGCGTCACACACAGGCAGGATTAGTGCTCCCTTGGTCAAATATGACCAGGTCCCACCCTTCACGCACCTACGCTGAGATGTTGGAGCTCAGAAGAGTTGTGGAACAGCATCTCCTGGTTATGAGCAGCACCAGCCACCTGGCCTAGAAACCCTATCCCCAGGACCAATATGAGGGACAGTAAGAACAAAAAGACAGGGGCCCTGGAACTCAGTTTCTCTTTCTCCACCTTCTCATGGTGGCACTGGAGGCTGCATGAGATCATGTGCCCCAGCCCTCTGAATGCCCCTTTGTCAGCTGTGTGCTGGTGCCAGCAGTCAGGTGAGGGCCCAGCCCTTTCCAGGCCTGTGCCTCTGCTTACTTTAGAACGAGAAAGACAGCGTGTGGTGAAAGCGAAGCACAGTGTGCCAAGTATAGCTAACTCCATAGGAGAACAAACAAAAGTGTACGTGATCACTGTAGAAAGATGAGAACATTTCATTGTAAAAATTAAGAGAATAAAACTCACTTGTTTTTCCACCATTCAGAAATTTGTGAATGATATGTACATAATTTATTAACAGAATAAAAAGGGATATTAAATAGTATTTATAGCCATTTTCACTTAGCAAAACCTTTTCAGTTCATCATATTGTCTTTCTTATGGTGTCATTTTAAATTGTTATCTGTCTAGTGTTACATTGTCACCCTTTTTAGGGTCCAGTCCCCTATTCTTCTACAGTTCTTTTTCTCTATGTAAACAACACCGCAATGAACATCCTTTTAGAAAAATCTCTTTTCACATCTTATAAATTTACAGTAAAAATTAAAGGATATAACGGACCTTATATGAATACTGATTTAAAAAACTATTTAAAAAAAAACAAAACAAACCCTTGGTGGGTGTGGTGGCACACACCTGTAACCCCAGGACTTGAGAGGCTGAGGCAGGAGGATTGTCAATTTGAGGCCAGCCTGGTCTCCCTAGTAAGTTCAAAGCCAGCCTGGACTACACACCAAGACCCTGTCTCAAAAAAGCAAAACCAGAGGTTCGGATTTAGCTCAGTGGCTCAAGGTCCTGAGTTCAATCCCTGGTACCAAAAAAAAAAAAAAAAAGCAAAAGCAAAAGCAAAACTAAACAAAATCAATCCAAAATCTTGGATCCTTGATGTTATATAATATCAATATCTGATAATGATATTGTGGTTACTTTTTTAAAAGTTCTTCTCTTTTGGAGATACATATTATAATATTTATGGATTAAGGACAATATCTATGTTTGTTTGAAAATAATTTGGAGTGCAGGTGTGGGTGGCAGTAGAGATAGAAACAGGAATGGATAATTATTGTTATTAAAGCTGACTGATTGGAGATCTAATAAGCTATTCTCCCTATTTTTGTGTGTCGTTGGAAGTTTCCATATTAAATACTATATCTAAGATAGCCATGACTACAATAATGATAAAAATATTTATTAAGCACGAAGACACAGTGCCAGGCATGCAACTCTTCCAGTAGCCTTGAGAGGTAGAGTCACCAATCTCACTCTAAAAGGTGATGGAGGGAAAGTAGACTCAGCCCACAAGAAGCAAACCTAGTGTTCGGTTTCAGAGCTGTGTGAGTGCAAAGGGCTGATGCTTTCAGGTAGAAAGACACTAGCACACAGATGGATATAATAGAGAATAAGGCTGGGGGTGGAGAGGAAACTTAGTCCTCATACTTATGCACTATAGAGACTCAAACTGGTTATGTTTTTCCTCATAGCTGAACTAAGCAAGGGGATCTCAGGAGCCCAGGAAGCACAGTCATCTAGTCCATAAATCCCTCATTCATTCACATGTGCAAAAGCACTGTAAGGATTTCTCAGTGCTTGTTTACTCTCTCTTTTTGAAGTTACAGTTAGTCATCCTCTAATGCTCACTGGCCATCTATCTTGACCTTAATACAGATCATTAATTAAAGTGTTTTTTAAAAATATTTAATGTGGCATTCCATTTCCTCCTAAAATAGGAATAGATGATATATCTACTAAGACTGTACCTTGGAATTAGACAACATATTTATTAACCATGTCATGGCCAGATCAGGCCTGACCTTCCCGTCTTTTTGTTATAATAGAAAAAGAAAAAGAGAGCTGGGTGGAATGAGATGGTGTTTCTCAAGGCTACTTCATGTGTGACATGGGCTGTGTGAGCAACTTATTGGGGAGAAAAATTGGGGGGAATCTCATTATATTGGAGAGTGGCAAAGAACACCTGCCAAGTGGTATGCAATTTTGTAGGAATTGGGATAGGAACATAAAGAGGACAAGGAGTGATGCAGGGTTGAAATCAGAGCCCAGGCAAGACCTGGCACAGCAAGAGCTATGGGCTTTAGTGTGGGAGGGTCAGATATCACCATGTGGCCTCAGTGAAGCAGAGGTTCAGGAAAGGGCTTAGAGCCCCCCCAAAGAAGGCCATGCTCTCCTAAGTTTTGGGCATCAGATATGACAAATGGTGGAGGAAAGAGACTACCGAGCAGGCTAGTGGGAGGGAATGGGGGACAGACTTTATTTACCTGGGTGTAGGTCAACTGAGAGCAACCAGGGGTTGTCAGTGATGAACAAAGAAAAAGCAGGGAGCTTTACAGTGGATTGGGGGAGGGATCTGTCACATACACGGTCAAAGTAAATACTTGTGGTCAGTGTCCATGCAGCGGTCCAGGCAGATGTATGGATGTTAGCAGGTAATTTGGCTCCAGGAAGATGTTGTGCTGTACTTTGTAGTCTTACCTCTTCTGTAACATCCTATTCAGTGTTCCATCTGCTTGGAGACAGCACAGCCTGTGTTGCAGGAGATGGCACAACCTGTATCTGCAACGTGTTTAG